AGATCGGGTTTTTTTTTAAATAAAAAAGTTACAATTATTATTTACTTATAATCATCAATACAAATATCGAATACCCAGAAAAAAAATCTTCGATCGGGCCGGATTCGAACCGACGTCTTCTAGCATGCCGTGCCAGACGCTATACCAACTAAGCAACGGAAAGAACCAGCGGACCTCACGAATTTTTCTATGTGCTTGCGTCGTATCTTTGTATTTGGTTTTTTGAACAACTTTTAAGCCGTAGCGCCATCCATGAGAAATCCAAGACACCACCCCGGTTAGAGATGTAGCCATTCATTGTATTTAAATTTTTATTGAATTGATATTCAATTATTTTTATGTGAAATTAGTCCACTAGTTTGTTATAATCATCAATACAAAGATATTTACTTATTAACTTAAATATATACTTTTCATGTATATTATAGGTTCCATGTTTAAAAGTGAACAAAACACTAAGTTTTTTCTTTGGTTTTGGTTTGGTTTTAAAAGTTAAAAACCTAGGTGTTTTGTGTAATATATATAAAAAGGATATGTAAGTTGTTGTGTTACAACAACTTACATGGGAGGTATCGATTTGCTTTTTTTTCAAACAAACTGACGTTTCGCTCTTTTACAGGGAGTCTACTCCCGTTCTCTGCCCGACATCAGAAACAATTACTGTCAAATAATAATATCAATAACGCACACGCTCAACATAGCCCCGCACTAGGGAAACCCTGTGTCGCGGGTGCCATGGACACACACATAGACAACCACAAATTACACCCAAACTCACGAAATAAGTGATATTCGACCAAATCAGAAGACAATGGCTTTTAATTTCGAGTATTCCTTATCTGACTGAGATTTTTGTTTGCTTTATTCATTTACTACAATCAACAACTTGCTTAATGCATTAGTTTGAAATTACACAATATGAAATGGACTTATGTTAAGAGCTCTCATGCCAAAAAAGTTTTGACGTTGGCTCCGCCCAAATTTGTGAAACAAATATATGCCTGAAGTTCGCGTGACATGCGACAGGAGATGTTGAATTTTGCGCATTAAAAGTACCAAATTCGTTTTAGCGGAATAACTCTAAAACTAAAGGGATTTAAAAAATCCGAAGTGACAGTTGTCGATCATGCATAAATATAATTAATTAATTATCTAATTTTTGTCCTAATAACCTGTAGCATTTCGAGGATAAATCGGAAAAATGTGAAAATTAGAGGTCATTTCGTGATTTTTATCTATCGAGGAAACTTTATTGTTTTATGTTTCTGATTAATGTCTATTCTTGAATATATCGTGTAGTTACTCATACAATATTTTATTTTTAACTTTAAAGTGGATATACCCCTCTAAAATCAAATCGAAGATTAGGAATTTTTCCTCTGCTCCTTCTTAAAGTGTTGGCCTAATTAAAGTTGTCATAACATTCAATGGTCACAAACATATATTTATGTGTAAAATATATGTGTGTAATTGTTACGGGCTCTATGATAAGCACGGTCACCGTGAATAATAGTCGGTCTGTATTAATAATGCCCGCAGCAAATGGGCAATGTAATAAAAACTGCATGATTATGATTAATCCCTATATAACAACCTCCCAGGACTATGTTACTAACATAAACAACAACTTCAGTTCCATTACTTTTAATAATTCAACAGATTTAAATTTCATACAAAAATAAATAGATTTAAATAGATCGATCTAAAGGGTAATAACTCTGTGCAGGGTGTGTGGGGTTGTCGCGGAGTACGCCTGCACAGTTGAGCTTGTTCTACCAGATACAGATCTAAAAAGTGTCAGATAGTACATCAAAAATCTAAAGTTTTTTTTAGTAGATTTATAATCAAAGGTCATGGAACATAAGTTGTTGTTTATGGTGTTAGTAATATAGTTGCGAGGTTGTTAGTATTTTAAATATAACCCTGTATAGGAAAGTAGAAAGAAAAATGAAGTTTTATAAAAGGAAATCTACGTATGTATGACGAATAATAATCTAAAATTGATTTGTGTAATAGTGATGTGTTGTAATTTTCTTTCTGTATTTTTAATTCTCTTTTATGGTGCTAATCATCATACATAAAATACACGTTTTCGGAAAATGTAAGTGCATAGAGTTACGAAAAAATAAATAAATAAGTCATAACATTATTGCAAATGTTTTAAAAGGCTTAAGAGCTTATATTTGTACCATTGATGTACCCATGGAAATGCTGCACTGCGGCATTAAACAGTCCATGGAATCGTTTACACAGGTTTCCCATGTACCGCTGTGAAATTTAACTCGCCTTTAAATCCACGTACCAGTTTTATACTGAAATGTTTACTCGCTTCATTCAATTTTATTAAAGATTTGTTACGATTTTGTGACGTAATAATTATATTTGTTGTCCATATATAATATCGAACCTTAGAATGACATAAACAAAGGCTTAAAAAAATTTTCTCATTTACATTCAACTGTATTAAATGAACGGGCTTATCTCCGCAACTTCGCGCAGCGTTAGAAAGATTTTCTTTTAAAAGAAATGGGTCGGCGCTTTCAATTCCCTGTAACGTGCCAACTACAGACTTGGCGCCCAACGTGGGGCTAGGTAAACGAACTTTTATGTAAATAAATAATATTGAGTTGCCTACCTGCTGTTTGCACTTACTTGTTTGTTTCTTTGTACCTTTCTGCTACACGTCATACATTATTTTTAATCGACTTAAAAAAAGGAGGCTCTCGATTAGACTGTGTTTTTTTATGCGTATTTTACGCAATTACACCGGCATTTATGAACCGATTTCGATGAGTATTTTTTGTTGAAAAGAGGGTACTTCAGTAAAGGTCCCATTTAAATTTGAAGAAAATATTCCACCTCTAAGGGTGGCACACTAGGGGTTGAATCCGGTTTCGCGCATTTTCTGGTAACCGATTTCAAAAAAACTTGGCGAATAGATGTAATTACACGAACTTTTGAGATCGTTTTATTTTTATTCAAACCGTTTCGAAAACTTCGAAGCCCTTATTTATTTATTAAGGAATCGCAATAATATTAATAGTGACCTTAACTGAAATAATCCCAATTGTTTTGTCCGCAAACGGGTTAATTACAGTCAGCCTCGCCAGCAGTCTAAGGCGGTTGGGTTTCTGTAGCGTGTCGCTTCCAGCAGAAACACTTTTCACAAACAAATTTTCTGAAAACTGGTCTTTGTAATTCTGCTGATGCTAAACATCTTCCGGTCACTCCTGATGCTAGACATCTTCTGGTACCTATCTGGAAAACAGGGAGGGTGCTATAGCCTTACAGAGAACCGGATGAAGTCCTTGCAAACGTACTGATCCAGAGTTAGGACCTGATTTAGATGGTCCCTGTGCGGGTTCGCTCGCGCAAGTCGTCGTGCCCTTCCCTCATAAACAAGAGGTTGATAGGGAGGGGCACTATGAACAAAACTTATATAGAAGGATATGGGGCTGGTCGTAGTAATTCTGTAGAGACTCCAATGAGACTATATTGCAATTATGATCATATTTGTTATTCTGCTAAAGTCTGGTTCAATAGTAGTTGGTCTAAGTGTCAGTGGAATGGCTGTGATTTCATTCATTACTCATTTCATACATTCATTCACTACTCACTCTACTTATACGAAATTATAATGTATGTTAGAAATAATCTGTCTTCATTTGGTACTGTAAATGTTTCTGGCATCCCACTTCGCCGTCACGGTCATTTGAGAACAGTCCCTCGACGCATGGCACTTGCAGAGAAAAACCCGTGTGTCATCGGACCTACTTACTATGAGCGTTTACCCGCTACTCAGACTTGAACCGTCTGACGAAACATTTGGGCGCCGGCTGAAAGACCTTTTCTTGAAAAATCCTATATACTCCGTAAAAGAATTTATGGACTTTAAATTGTAACGAATTCAGTATTTTCTATTTTTATTCTAATTTTTACCGCATTAACATACTCTTGTATAATTGTTATCAACTTATGACGATCCTTGATGGAGAATGATATTTGATATATAATTTAATGACAACAATATTATATAATGAATTGTTAATTTTCTAATTATTGTGTGCTTTTCTTATAATTTTCCTTTTTGTCTGACGATCTCAATATAATTTCTTATACTTTGACATGTAGTGCAATTTATACTGTAATGTTATATTAGAGAAATAAATGAATCTGAATCTGAATCATTCATTCATTCATTCACTAACCATCGATGTTGCCTTATTAAAGCTACCATGAGAATTACTACACATATCTTATTTTTTTCTCGTTTAATCCGCAATTTAGTCTTTAAAGTGCCATCGACTTTCCATTGAAGAGTAGAATGCCAAATTATTTCAATGGCTGTTGAATAATAGCTCGGCGGCTAGCCACTGGCAATCAACTACGCTTAGTTTTTAGCAGAATACCAAACGTACAAGATTCTGCCGTTGACATTCTATAGACTACTGTTGGGTAATTTTCCTAAAAATTTCAAATAATGGATTTTTTTTCTGGAAAAGTTCTAAAAATTTCAAAAAATTAATTTGGAAGGCTCATGTTATGTTCTACGTTTAGAAATATCTTTTGAAGTATTATTTAGCGTGAATTATAAAATAAACTTGTTTAGCTAAAAGCTAGTTATGGAAAAACAAGATTTAAAATCGTTTCACATAAAACCTACAACAACCACATCATCACCACTTGCTCCTTCGTTTTTGTTCAATAGCTTCAACTTTTGACAGGTGTCAACGTCAAAAACGTGGAAAAATTAAAGGAAAAACATTGTAAAAATATCCGAAAAATAATTTATTTATCTCAAAAATAAGATATTTCCAAAATGGAAATTTCTCCATGGCCCAACACTTCTATAGACACGCAACTGAGTTGATATAAAATTAGCAGACTTAGGAGTCCATTATGGTAACCGTTCGGCCACAGAGTCTATTAATATGTTGCATGTCTATTCCTTCTAGAATGATATTTTTGTTGCTTAATGTGTGAATACGTTCACGTTCCAGGTGCACGCTACGTTTCCCTTCGACGAATATCCGTCTGGAGTTTCAGTCGCTTGTGGAGGAGAGCGGAGTGGGGGCGGGCAGTTCAGGACCCCCCTTGCCGCCGCTCAGGATCACCATCCCCATGGAGAATGATGGGCGAAGTCCGGCGCCATCACCCACCGGTTAGTTGACCTTGTCATATTATGTTTAGTATCAACCCATCTATACGTCCCACTGCTGGACACGGGTCTCCTCTCTGGCGAGGGTTTAGGCCATAGTCCGCTACGATGGGCCAATTCTGGGCAACTTCTTCACAGTACAGGTTCAATCACGATGTTTTCTTTCATCGAAAAGCTCGTGGTAAATTCAAATTTCACATTTAAATTCCGAAAAATGTATAGGTTTTTTGGAAACGAGAACACCATGTAAAGTACTTATAAATAAATATTTGACGTTTGTTAAGTCAAAGGAGTTTATTACTTACCAATGTGTATGTAACTGTACCCTTGTTATGTTCAATTACAATAATTACTTCATAATTAACATATTGAAAAGGCACGATTATAATAATGCCCTTTACATATTTATTTTAAAATAATTACATATTTCTGTTGTAAGTCAACTTTTAAATATAAAGGTCCCTTTTAGTTACTTAAGCCCTTCTTTATATGCAATACATACTTTTTTTCTACAAGATACAAAAGAAAATTAGGTCTTTTTTTAAAACAGCTTATCGTCCGGGATTGTGCTATTAGGTTTAACTAGCATTGTCCGAGATATGGCGACTATCTATCGTCAAGTGCAGAGATGGGCAGTGGATTAAAACTTAATCTGCCGCGCCCTGCGTATTTTAACTACGATTTTATCCAAAGCGATTAATTATGAGTTTGCTACTTGTGCCTTTCTTCTTTACTTATCTATTGAATCTTTGGTCCTGTAAAAACTTGCGGATAAACATTCTTACACTAACGTCACAGTACATTTATGAAAATGTTATTTATGTTAAGAAAAATATTAATTTTTTTACGAAATAACTGACTGACATAACATTAATATGAGGAATAAAAATAAACCTAGCTGTTCTTGACATTTGTTTTCATAAAGTCTCAAATTCATATAAGGGGCAATATCGACTCATCCGAAGAACAGAGTACAACGAAATATACAACGAAAAGAGGATAAATACATAATTTCGTTATTCAAAATAAGACCTAGCTCCAGGTGTTTTAAGAATTTTATGTATTATTTCGTTTCGCAAGTATAAAATCCATAATCGGTCGATAAGAAGAAGAACAGTTAAGAACAGCGAACGAAATGTACAATGTCCTGAGAATAAGCAGTCTTGCACATAGGTCTTTCGACCCCTCCTACGTAAAGTATCGTATGTCGAAATTGCCAAGTTTACAGGGAAGCGTTTTAAAATTTTCAATTCACTGAAATGAGCGTAACACATGACTCTATTTCTTAGTTTTATTCGGCAAAACTCAAACAGAGTATTATAAAATCTTAGATATCGGTTAGATGAACAACCATAATTTATTTTATTATTTTTCAATTACATTTAGCATTTCTATGCTAAAGTCACGTGTTATACTCATTTCAGTGAATTAAAAACTTAACGCTTCCCTGTAAACTTGGCAATTTCGACATACGATACTTTACGTAGGAAGAGTCGCTTTGTTCTACAGATTAGTCGATATGTACGCTTCTATAATAAGATTCCGACTGGTATTCCAAATTAGCCAATTTGAAATGAATAAAAAATAAATCTAGCTGGTTTGACGTTCCAGGCACGATAAGCGCGGCAAACAGCTGTCCCACGTCGCCGCGCGGCGCGGGCTCGTCGGGCCGGCGGCACGCCGACCTTGGGCTCGTCGCGCACTACGCCGCACTCGCCGACCACCAGCGGCCCACCTCCAATGGCACTGCGGTCAGTATCTGCTGCATTATATCACTTCAAGTTCGAGTGGGGTTCGAAAAATAAAATACTATTATTGATACAAATGTCGAACTTACACAAAGAGGAATTCCAGCGTCGAGAGACCCATTTGCCAAACCGGGGCAACCGTTCTAACAATTTTTTTTTTATAATTATTAATACAAAGATCGAATACTCAGAAAAAATCCTTAATCCGATTTTTCTTTTATTAGTGTTAGATATTTGTATTAATAATAATAACAAACTAGTGGAGTAATTTCACATAAAAACAATTGAATACAAATAAAAAATTTTTTTTTGGAAATAACTAACATTTTTTTTATTGTATATTATGTTTTCGTATCATGATATTATTTATTTATGTTTTGTGAAATTACACCACTATTTTGTTATACTAAATTATTGATACAAAGATCGAATGGGTAGAAAAAAATTATAACATGTTGTTAACTTTTTATCATTAGATACATTTCGTAAGGACGTTTCGTAAGATCGTAAGTTTCATAATTAAATTAATCAGACGTTCAATTAGTTGTTTCTCAGAAGTACAGCACAGCTGTAAACAGTATTTCATACGTCGCCTTCCAATGAAGGTTCAGTTGTAGATGTTACTTGTTTTTAAGCGTGTCGTTGACACGGGGAAACCATTATTAATAATAACTTTTTGCAAAAGGCAGGTACAAAGTTTTGACTGGCTCCCAAATTAGGATTCAGATGTGCCAATAACAATAAATAAGTCTATTACAACAAATTTATTAACCATGGTAGGTAGAATAGAAAAAGAACGTGGTATACATTTACGAGGGTTGGCTGAAAAGTAATTTCTTTTGACTATTTTCAATTCAAAAATAATACAGGCCACTATCGTGACGCATTCGTTATTTATTCTTTTTTCAAAATTAGTAACTCTCTTGTTTATTATATTTCGTTTGGAATGGACAAAATGGCGGAAGAAAAAAGCAAAATGTTTACAAATGAGCAACAACTTTTTGTTAACAGGTACCTAATGTCTCTTTACACACTAACAAACATAACAAGCGCATTCTTATTTCTATGTACATTTCATACTGAAAGAAAGTAGCAATTGTCGTCGTGTATACACTACATTATCAAGTATAGTTCCAATGTTTATAAACACAATGTAAAACAGCCAGCCGCAGTCCTAGTAAACTACAAAACCATGGTGAATTCCAGGCGTCGTCAACGTCAGATTCGGGGTACGGCAGCTCCCGCGACCGCGAGGGCCGCGAACCGCGCGACGTGCGCGAGTCCCGCGACCGCGACCGGGGGGACCGGGGGGACCGCGAGCGCGACGACGCCAAGCCGCCGTACAGCTACGCGCAGCTGATCGTGCAGGCCGTCGCCTCCGCGTCGGACAAGCAACTCACGCTCTCCGGAATCTACAGTTACATCACCAAGCACTACCCCTACTACCGCACCGCCGACAAGGGCTGGCAAAACTCCATACGCCATAATCTTTCACTGAACAGGTTAGTATGTAATTCCACTTCATTTCATGAATCTTATAAATTAAATGATATTGTCGAGAAACTACCCCATCAGTAGTATTATGATAAATACTAAAAATAATGAAAAAAAAAAAATGTGTAAGGATCAAGTGCGTTTTTGCCAATTACAGAGAAGCAGGTTTTTTTATTAATTGTTTTTAACACAAAGGGGTTTTATTTTTTGGTTTAATTTAAATTAGAAAATGAAATTGACCAAAAAATCTGCTTTAAGAAAAGTCCTTTGGGACCTGTGATGCCGCAGACAGACACACAGAGACAAAGGCCTCAAACTTTGAAGGCGAAGGATTCGTTACTCGGTTCTCCAGCGGTTGAAATTGACAGCCACAGTATCTATTTCTACCTCCAAGCAATAACGCGTTATAGTTGACGAAATATTATTAAAAAAAAAAAAGGTGCGTTAACGAGACTCTGCCGTCTGTATAGTGCAAACAACCAGTTCGAACACATTTACGCAAATGCACTGAATTGTAAACTTAGTAATCTATGTGCGGAAGTAACTTTGTTGAATTAGTAAGAAGAGAGTCAGCAGTCAGTATTTTACGAAGTATTTTTTTTTTAATATATAAGATAAGAGATGAGTAAATAAATAATCCAAAACTCGGATTCAGAAAAAGCATTTAGCGCACTCATGACTCATACGATTGACCAAGATCATTAAGTCCAGGTAAGTTTTAAGTAAACGAAGTGTTAATGGTTTTATTACCCCATTGTAAAAGAAAGGATAAGTAGTTTCAAGAGATAACATTTATCCAGGATGGAGCAGCCCCATATCTTTCTACGTAAGTTTTGTAAAAAGTGACCCTCCCTATCAAGCTCTTGGTTATGGGGAAAGGGCACTATAACCTGTGACCTGGGACCTTCTCAGTCAGGTCCTGACTCCAGGTCCGCCCGGTTGCACAGTATTCATCCGGTTTTCAAAAGTCTAGTGCCTTAGGTGAGTCGCTCCGGGCGCACGTATAGCACCCTCCCTATTTTGTTTGGAGTAGACAGAATTGTACGTCCCGTCGTCGATAACATAAACAAAATGCGTTGCAGATACTTCATCAAGGTGCCCCGCAGCCAAGAGGAGCCGGGCAAGGGGTCGTTCTGGCGGATTGACGCGCAGAGCGAAAGTAAGCTCATTGAGCTGGCCTTCCGCCCGAGGCGGCCGCGCGGCGTGCAGTTCCGCGCGCCATTCGGCCTCTCCTCCAGGTACGTCGACCTCTGCGGCCTCTCCGGCCTCTCCAGCCTCTCCTGCGTGCGGTTAGGGCAATTTACAATCTGGACCCCAGAGGGTCTTTTTTGAGATAAGTTTAAAGAGAATTAACATTATTTAACGTCACAGTATATTTCTGAAAATGTTATTTATGTTAAGAAGCATAGTATTTTTTTTTTATGAAAAATAGTGACAGACATAACATTAATACGCGGAATAAAAATAAAAACTAGCTGTTCTAAAGTTACAAATTCCTTTAAGGGGCCATGTAATACGCTTCTGTAGTAAGATTTCTGGTTATATTTAAAATTTGCCATTTACGAGGTTTAAAACTATAGTGAAACAAAAACTTTATACTAAAGGTATATCATACAGCTTCTGCGTACTTGGATGACAAGAACCCGTAGTAGTGACCCGTTTAGCTCTTGCAGGTAGTCTCGATGTTTGAAATAAAAATATCATATGTAAATGATAAATGTATTCAAATGTATATTTAAGAAAAGCAACCCCTAGAGCTTCGTTGTTCATTCTTCATATATTCAGTTTATGAACACGACAATTTGAAGTGTGATTTGCTTATCTATGAAGTGAAGATGATTCAAGTTTGAGTGTTGAGTTTCCTGGCGGAGACGGTCCTTCGGCGGCTGGCGCTGTGACGATGGTCTGTGGTCGCAGGTCGGCGCCGACGTCGCCGTCGCAGGTGGGCGTGTCGGGGCTGGTGACGCCCGAGGAACTCTCCCGCGAGCCCACGCCCGACCTCTTCACCAACGAGGAGCACGAACAGCAGGTACCTGTCGACGCTCTAACAAACGGATATGACTTTTGCCTTGCGTTCTATCTGGTCGGGAGAGTCGTAGTAAGCGACCGAAAGAACGAAGAATGCTAAAGTATTAGGTTTATATAAATAATAATAACGCACACACTCAACATAGCCCGGCACTAGGGAAACCCTGTGTCACGGGTGCCATGGACACACACATAGACAACCACAAATTACACCCAAACTTATGAGAGAAATAAATGTAGGCCCTATAAATACTTCTCACGGCCCGGGAATCGAACCAGGGACCTCTGCATGGCAGCCCGGCATGGTAACCATTCGGCCACCGAGGCAGTCAAAAACACCCAATTCAAAACGGCGTAATTCAAAAGTCGATAAAGTTACCATGTGTAAGCTTACAACTCGTCGAGACCGATTTTGTTAACCCAAACACGATAGTTCTACTGTAAGTACTCGCGTCAAACGTGTCTAGGTAACAACCATTTTTGCCATTTACCGAAAATCAGGCTTTTTTAATCAATTTTTTTAACATAGATGGATTTTTTAGGTCATTCGAAATAAAATCCGTTGGTTCTAAAAGAAAATTATTTAAAACCGGATGTGTATTTACGATAAAGATGTGGGGCAAAACAACTTGATATTCACTCTTTTTAGTTCAAAGTTTGAGAGCTGAGTTTTCTAAAAAAGCTTCAACGGCACTTGGAGCTGCAAGGACAGAATTTCAGCATAGTGGCAATCCACCGTGCAAACTTTCGTTTAGCCGGCTGGTTTGGACTAGCCTTGCATCATCGGAGTATGTAAACAAGTCGGTCCTAATGGTTCCTAAATAGCGTTGTTAAAATCTCGAGTCCGGGAGTCTACACTTGTAAACTCTATTTTGCACATCGAGTCCAGCGCGAGTCATCGGAGCACGGACTCGAGTCTAAAAAGAACTCGAGTCGTAAACGTAATTCCAAAACTCGATTCGAAGCCACTTCTACTCAAGAAAGACTCGAGTACAACAATTTGGGTTAAATTTTACTGAACAACTACTATAGCCTACGAATTAATTAAAAAACAAAAACCCAATATAGTGATTTAAAAGAAGATATTAATACTTAATTATACCACAGCTATTGTACTATACAGTTTAACACACCACACCACAACACCGCACATTAGGTACTTGGCAGCAACGAGCTGGACTCATTACATAAATAGACTCTAGCACTAATGTCGAACTCGAGTCTATTCGGAAATTCGATAGGCTCGTAATACATCAAGCGAATTGGAATTGGAGCAGTCCTAAAATGTATACTTTTTCAAAATAATATCATGTGACGGGACGACCAAGTCGTGCGCCTTATGGTAAGCTACAAATCTGTCCATAATCGTTGCAGTGCTTTGAATCTCAAAGATCTGAGGGGCACTGTCACTGCGCCTGTCACCCTGAGACATATGTTGACAAGTCCCATGGGCCTGTAATTTCACTAACACCCTTACCCTTCAAAACCGGAACGCAGTAAGACTCACTTTACAGCTTGGCGGCAGAAATAGGTGAGGTGGCAGTACTTTTCTGAACGAACTCTTTCACAAGAAACTCTACTGCTACTAAATCTCCTGAACTCGAGTTTTCTGCAACACTATTCCTAAGGATTGTCGCGAATGGTTGCAGCAGGCGTCGTCGTCGCGGCTGTCGTCGTCGTCGCAGGCGGCGCAGTACCTGTTCCCGCGCGCGGCGGGCGTCTCACAGAGCGCCCCCGGCTCCCCGGGTAAGCCTCCCCAAGTCAAGGACCGCCTAGCGGAAATTACGCGACTGAATAACGCTTCTTATAGCGCAATCCATTGCACCCGCCAGTACATTAAGTTAACATTTTAAAATTGTCATCATCAAGATTAATTCAGCGGCGTAATTTCAGCTAGATTTGTCGTCTTATACCAACAGTCGACGAGCTCTATTTTTAAGTGTAAAAATATTGAGGAGCCATATTAACTGAATTCATTTTTTTTATTGTTAAAATTTTTTTATTTTTATTGTTATTATTGTTAACGAGATGTAACCCGTGCGTGTGCAGGCCACGGCATGCCGTACAGCGCCGGCGGCAGCGGACTGGTGATGGCGGGCCATCAGATCACTGTCGTCACCAATGGCGCCGGCGGCGAGAGAGAAGGTACGTTCTGCACTGGATTCTATTCCAATTGTTTCTATAACAATGGGGAAGAACTTCCGCTGTATTATAGATTTGTGTATACATTTGTATCACACGCTTTTATTTATAAACAACTCCGAAGTTCGGTATAATGTGTCATTTCGATCCTCAGACTTGTCTTTCCTTGGCTCCAAGTCTGTTAATTTTAAATAACCTCATTTATGTGTCGATATAGCATGATTTTGTACGTTTGGTATTCTGCTAAAAATTAACCGTAGTGCCTTGTCAGTGGATAGCCATCGAGCTACTATTCATCAATCAATCGAACGCAGTAATGCTAACATTACTGTTTGGCGGCAGAAATAAGTAAGGTGGCAGTACTGCACTGGACGAACTCTGTCATAAGGACCTCTACTGCTAGGACGTCTACTGCTGCTAAATTGTCAGTGTTGTGGATGTTACCATCTCAACTGACTGATACCCTTCACTTGTTAAATTAAGAGTTAATAACTATATTGAACCGTAGCCTAAGTGCTGAGCGACGTTTATTAATAACCTCTCTATCTAATTGAACACTCTCGAATATATTTTATGAATAGATACTGTGTTGGCGTTAAGAGCTTAATATCGATGGTTATATGTAAAAAACATATAAAACAAGTAATAAAAAAATAGCAAAATATATAATAAAATAAATGGTTCAGCTTTGTGCCAATAGATGGCGCCGCATTTACTCTTGTTTAAATGGTTTAACTTTGTGCTGGTAGATGGCGCCGTAAAATATTGTGAGATTCAGTTTGGAACTTAGTAGTGTTGGGTTATGGAAGAAATCCCATTTTGTAAAAATCATGTTACAGAAAAAAAAAATATTATTCCGGATATTTTCTAATCTTTCTATTTATTTTCCACATTTGACGTTGACACCTGCCAAAAGTTGAAGTTACTGAACTAAAACGAGGAGCCAATAAAAAGTTTCTTTTCCGCTGTTGTTGAAATCATTATAAATCTCGTTTTTTTCTAAGTAGCTTATAACTAAATCTCGTTTTTCTCTAGGTACTTACAACTATACAAGTTTATTTTATAATTGACGCTAAATAAAACTTCATAAGATATTTATACATGTAGAACATAATATGAGCCTTCGAAATAATATTTTTCCCATTTTTCCAATTTCTCGGGAATTTTACCGGAAGTATTTTCAGTATTGGATTTTTTTTGGAAAATTACCCAATAGTAGACGTTAGTTAATTTTCGATTTTTTTTTGACGCCATCTATTAAGCATTTCGAGAACAAATAGCCTTTTAATCACATCGCAGTAGCTGCGGTGTGTATATAGTTTCCCTAACACACACAAACCTACACGCGTTTTGTTCATATCGCATCAGTACGTTTTAGAAAAAATAATACAGTTTCTACTTTGGTTATTTTTAACTTTTTTTTTTTTCAGTGTTATCACAGTTATGTTTCACTTACAGAAAAGTACGTGGTAGGCACAACGACGGGTGGCAACCTCGTATCCATACAGGAGGAAGATGCGCCGCTGCACCATGAGCCTTACTACGCGTATGTATAACAGCTAAAAAGCTAATTTTGGCTCTTAAACTCTATAATTCCAATAGGTTAATTCAATTTAGTCAAACGATTCATTTCATATTATTAATATTACAATATGAAAGAGAATCTCAATGGAAAATATGATAATCACCAATATAAACAATAACTATAGAAACAAATAAACTATTGTGAAAATAAAACGACGTCCACATAATAATTTTCAATCGAATTGAAGCAAGATCCTTCAGTCGCCATATTAAATCGCCGTCTTGATTTTTTCACACAGGGAGTTGACTACTATAGCCATCAATTTTCTATGTATATCTCCAGTAGTTTCCGAGATAGAAGAATAAAATTAGTACTGCGGCCGTCCTGTTTATTAAATTGTTGAGGGTGTAGGTTGTCAATTTTTGCACGGTGATTTCGTGTCTTCCTTTTTTATAATATCAAGCGACAGGACGCACAGGTCGTGCACCTGGTGTAAGCGACACGCCTATCATAACAGTTGCAGTGTAAGATCTTAAGGGCACAGCCACCGCGCCCGTTACCCTGAGACATAAGTTGACAAGTTCCAGGCGCCTGTAATTTCACCAGCGCCCTTGCTGCCTGGCGGCTGAAATAGGTAAGGTGACTGTACTTCCCGGGACGAACGACGAACTCTGTCACAAGGGGCTCTACTTTATTTATTATATGGACAACAAAACAGATAACAATCAAATTACATTGATACAAATTAAATATGATATAAGAAAGTTCTGTGATAGATTTTAACCCTACTTATGTTGACACATCATTCTATAGTAACAAGAAAGAACTACTGGTAAATTTGCTGTTAATTTACTTATTTACTTAATACTAAAGCGTCAAGAGAATGGATGAAAATCTATACAAGTGCAAGTTGCTTTACTACACGTTTAAATACTCTGGATCTTGGATCAAAAATGTCCAAATCGATGTTTTTCATAGATATCTCTGTGTAAAACCGACACATTCTTACAAAGGGGTTGTAAAAGGAAGTATTATTCCTGTATGTTCGCAAGTAAAACGTCTTGTTGGGTGTTCGGGGGTTGCGCCTTGTAGAGAGAGCTACTTTATTTAATAGGTAAGGAGAATCAATCTCACCATGAACAACTTTGTGCAAGTATGTGATGTCCTGTTTCTTACAGCGAGCACGTAAGGAGGTCACTTTAAATTCCTCAAGTCTGTCACTATAGCCAACGAGGCTGCGGCCATAACCACATTTGTAACTAAGTATCCTAAGTTCTTTTCTCTGAACGCTTTCTGCACTATCCGAGTGGACTGAGTAGCAGGGGATCAGATGACACAAGCGTACTATAAAATACTACGGACAAGGCTGTAATAGACGGTCAGAAAACTTTGAGCCCTACTGTAACTAATCCTCTACTTGCGACCGATTTGTTGAACGAGAAACTCTATCTGTAGATGTATATTCATTTATAATAAAATACCAGATTCCCTTAAGACAGAAGAAAATGACAAACCATTCAAAAGCATATTAAAGTCTCTTTTGATAAATGAGTGCTACTACGGCGTGAGGGACTTCATGGACTCTCCTATAAGATGATTTCACAGAAGTGATGAACGCTTCAATTGTTTCATAACGTGATGTGTCTATTTTAAGAACCTTCAGTTATATGTTCTGTGGCAGTGCCACTGTTATACAGAGCTTTAAATCGCAAAGATCTGAGGGGCACTGCCACTGCGCCTGTCACCCTGAGACAATAGTTGACGACCCTGTAATTTCACCAGCACCCTGACCCTTCAAAACCGGAACATAGTAATGCTAACATTACTGCTTTGCTACACCCCAACGGGGTTCTAGGGTCGGCGGACTAAAGCACATAAGTCAAAATCCAACATCATTCATTTAAATTAATACATCTACCGGCTAAAGCACATTAGTCAAATTCATTTGTTACTTTATTCTAGAGGCGTCTTTTTCAAATTTATCATTCTCTTCACATCTTCCAACACTGTAAACAACACAGAAAAATATATAATTATATATTAACAAATGAAGCACTTTTTGACTTGTGCTTTAGTCCGCCGACCCTAGGTTTGCTCTTATTGATTACTTGCGTAACACTTGTACGAACATTGTTCGAACATTGAACGAATGAATGGTGTGGGCAGCGGCAGCGGCGGCTTCGCCGGCGGCGAGGAGGGCTGCGCGGCGCTGGGCGGCGAGCTGGTGATCGAGGAGGCCGACGGCAGCCCGCCGCACCACGCGCACCACGCGCACCACCCGCCGCCGCACAAGCGCGCCAAGCACGACAACGTACGGCAGCCTCGCTCTAGTCATTCACGAACTGACGATGCAAATGCGTTGTTACACGACAATTGGTAGATCGTCGACTACGTAACCAGAAATAGAGACGAAATGTCATTTAATTTGTTTGCAAACTATTCTGCCAAATCATTACGGTGACAACTGCGCTCCGATTGGCCAGCCCTTCAAATCGACCAGCTTAACTTGAGCTTTGCTATAATGGACGAAGATTGCAAAACTAGATATTTTATTACCGATGAAGTGTGGTTTGTTTTGTAATTAGATGTTTTGCCGTTTTTCCCACACTACCGAGTGGAGCAGCCCCCATTGTTAGAGATATTCTGCCGTCCACTAACTAAAATGCAGCCAAGTGACAGATAGTCAAATATCCGTTTTATTAGAAAAAAATAGAGCACAAAATTCTCTTTTAAAAACTTACCATAGCGATGCATAGCTGAAATATCATTAAACATTTTCAATATTCTAAAACTGGGTTATGGTTTTTTAAGACATTTAAAAATGATACAAGGCCCATTTAGTTGATGGGATGCCGGGGATGGATGGTCCTTATTTCGTCTCTATTTCTAGTTATATGCTCGATGGTGTCAATCTAGATTCCCAAATTCTAACACAAACTTTAATTATACAGGATTATTTTTAAAATGGTAACATCCTCAAGGACTATATTACTAATGCAATGTGTCGAAGCAACGTAACTTCTTTGGTTGGTCATTGAATTGCATATTGAAGGAAATGTTGAGTAGGCGTAAGATTAATAGTAATTGAATTAATATTTTACTCCTATTTGCACCGTGAACGAATAAACACACTTTCTAAAATTGTTCCTGTTTCACTAACCAAACATGTCATGTCGCTAACCAGATGACATCCCAACTACCTCTTTGCACAACCAACCTAATTTGAGACTAACATCATAATAACAAGTTTTATTTCCATGACTTTTAATAATTGAACAGATTTCACTTTCAGACAAAAATATATGGATTGCTCTAAACTTTAATAACTCTATGCAGAACGGGGGTGGGATCGTCGCGGAGGGGGCTTGCACGTGTGAACTTATTCCACCAAATACTCTAAAAATTATCAGTACAACAAGAACTTAAAAGTTTATTTATAGTAAATTTATTATGTTTTGTAAAAAGTCATGGAATAACGTTGTTGTTTATGATGTGACGTTTTAGAAATAACCCTGACAAAAGAAAATAGATTTTTCTAGTTTTGAAAACCCAAATGATTATTATTAATACGAAGACGGAACAAACAATGAAAATTTTCTTCAATCCGACTGGATTCGAACCGGTGTCTGTTGCCTCCACGTGGATACCGCGCTACCAATTGAGCTACGGGTCTAGCTAGCCGATCTTACGAATTTTCGCAATGTGTTTGTTCCCACGTTGAGGCAACCGACACTGGTTTGAGTCCACTCGGATCGAAGTAATTTTTTTCGTGTTAAATTTTTCTTTCGCAATTTTTCTTTCAAAATATAGCAACGCAAATGATAACAAATAATTAGTGATTTATGTGATATGGTCTTATATGCAACTCATGTTTTGAATAACTACGGTAATCTTATAACGGAAATTGTAAACTTCTAATAACATTTTCAGATGTCGGACCTCGACGACCGACGCGCGTATTGACGCTCCGCTAAATCAGCCCGACGCGTCACGTCTCATACTACCACCTGACATACAAACCATCACACTACCACCAGAAAGCCACCTCCCAAATTTCATTCACGACACTTAACTTGAATGAAATAAAAAAGACACTAAAAATATAACAATGCAGTAAAGAGACGCAAAATGATTGTGTTTCTGCATATAGCATAAACAAGTTGAATTTATATTATACTAAAGTTCCAATATGAAGACATCACAGAGAAAAGTAAACACAATTTATATCTGACAACAGTGCAATATTGAATAACACAGAATACCGGAGACACTTCAAGTGAATTTACGAAAGTGTCGCATAAAAACTTGTGTCATATCAGGTGCATAGTTAAGGTGACGAGATATAGGCACTCTTGGAAGATAGAAATATGGACTTGTAGCATAGAAGACTGAGTGATTTGGACCAGCTTTGTGATTGGTCACTTGGTTCGTGCCTGCCGACAGAGGGAGAGTGTGGAGGCAGAATAAGATGATCCCACTTCTGATTAACTTGATTATCAGAAGTGGGATGCGTGTTACGTATGTCGTTATACGTCATACTCCTTGTTCTGCTCTAGTGCTTGAAAAGCCAAGCTTCTAGCAATAAAGTGATAGTGGTGTTTATAAACTAAATGGTTCGAGTGTCGCCTCATATAAATATGACGTCATTTGACGCCATATTAAAAACTACAGTGTTAAGGGAAATTGTTTTGAGTGGTTATTTTAAGTTTACGCTGACTAAGCGGGAGTTTTTAAGTTCCAAATGGACGCCGACGTTTGACGTTCAAACTTCATTTTGACATTTGATTTTTTAATTTACGCAAGGAGTGACTACGTGAAATCAGCCTCAAAAAAATTGAACTAAATGAATAGCAATTTTTGAGGTTGATTTACACGTTATAATGAGCTACTAAGTGCAATGATGAAAAAATAAAATTAATTTTTAGTTTAATGTAAGGTAACTAAATGTTGTTGCTTGTTTAATCGAAATGTCATTTAAATAAAAAAAAAAACTAATAATAAATAGCAGAAACTATGTACTTTGTCTAAAAACATTACTATTTTTTTGAAAGTTGATTACTGTAGTCAAGGTACATTTGTACATACATTTCTGCTGTGTATTTTTTAATTTTCATTAACCGTTAAGTTGTAATTTAATTTCAAGGTTAAACAAGGAATAATTAACATTGGTCGAATCTGTCTTATCATTTTTTTAAGTTAATTAATATTAAAAAGGGAAGCGAAAAAATACGGAAACGAGTGGAAAACAGCAACTTTTTAAATTACCACAAAATAAAGAATTGAATAGATATAATTTGAACGAATTTCGACAATTGCAGTACAACATTTAAAAAAAAACAATTTTTAGGATTTTTCCCTTGTTGTAGAAAAATTTACAAATAACTTTAAATATTTCTGTGTTGATGTTGTGTCTTCTAGGACAATTTAAAGTAAAATAAACACTGCGTTTTTCAATCGTGCTTATGTCAAAATTTCGCGTGAAAAAAAACCAATGTAATCCCGACTGCGAAATTTTAAAGCTACTGCAAGGTATAGGCGAATTACAAGAAACAAACTTTCATATCTACATCTGTACATACTTAAAAATCATTGACTTACAAATAAATGGACGACGGGTCTAATACAAAAACCACGAAAAAAATGTCCCAAGTCAACCTATTCGAAATTTAAATTGTAATGTCATCGCAGTATCGCGCTGTCAGTCGAACAAATGAAGACTAAAGCGGAGTTTGGCGCTCTGTATATGATTTTAACGCCTTACAAGTGCGGACACTTTTTAGCGCGGACCCGACGTCCATATAATTGTAAGTCAATGTTAAAAATGTTCTTTTTGGCATGTCATGTCATGTAAAAAAATCTCGAATACGAAATACATAATATTCAACATTCGAATTGATTAAAAAATAAAATCGAGAAATTCATCAAAACGACAACATTCGATTAAGAGGAATATCGAGCTAACAGTATGATATAATTTTTTGTTTGCAACTAGTGTAGTTTTGTGTTATGCAATAATAGTTCCTTTTATTTGCCACGTACAGTTTAGATTAGCGTAAATGTTTTACATGAAAATGGTAATTTACGAGGGACTTTTTTATGAAGACTCGATACTACGTGATTACCGCTTAACTGAGTCCGTTCCTGAGGTAGCTCAGCGGTGCGGGACGAGTGACAGTTTACGCAACATAATAGGGATAATTTCAACAACATTTTTCTGACGATATTCAATAGCGAGTTATAGTAGACTGAAAAAAGTGCCTACCAAATTAGGCTATTGTTGTTACGTGAAACAGTGTGAAATAAAATAGGTGTGCATGTTCCATCGTGGACCTCATCGTAACTTTCCATCAGGTGAGATGGAGGTCAAATGCGCTTTTATATTTTATAAATATAAAAAAATAATCTCAGTTCAGAGTTAGTACTCTGAAAAACAGACCTCAAAAGTTCGTGGAATTACTATCTTTGCTAAGTTTTACTGAAATTTGTTACCAGAAAGTGTGCGAAATCGGATTCATCAACTAGTTTGTAGAGGTGGAATATTTTCTTTAAATTTAAATGAGACCAATATTAAGGTACACTCTTTCCAATAAAAAAAAAGAATCATCAGAATCGGTTCCCAAATTGCGTAACATATATACAAAAAAACAGTCGAATTTAAAACCCCTTCTTTTTTTAAGCCGGTTAAAACAACTATTTAATTGATAGTTGAAATGAATAGACAAGACAATTCTTTTTTCATTCAACTTGTTATTGAATATCGTCAGACAAATCTTGTTGAAATTATCCCGTGTGCAGCGTGACATAACTGTTACGTAAACTGTCATTCCTCGCGCACCGCGCAGCTACCTCAGGAACCGACTCAGTTAAGGGATAGGCCTGGACTACCTTGTTCTAAGAAAATACTAATAAGAAAAAGTTACAATGAGATCATGAAAAAGTGTCCCGTAACAGCTTTATTTTTATAATCTTATTAAGATAACGAACACCAATTTTAATAGTACATAATAGAGTAGCGCACCGATACTTATTTTATTTTTTAACAGCCGGTTTACTTCCCACTCACCACAAAACTCACCGAGTAACTTACCATACTTGTGGCGTTGATGATTTTTCCATGCAGTGGACCTTGTAGCTGCCAAGTTAGGTCTGGACCGTCGCAATGTCAAAATCAAAATGATAACAAAATATTTAACTTGCAACATGGTAAAAAAGAAATACAAGGTAATAATTAAAAAACTTCCTATGCAGTCACGAAGAGCTTTGAAGTACATTGTCCTCCGTCATATTCTGCCATAGTCCGTAATGTTTAAGAACACACTAAAAGGTAACAAACACATGACCAAAAACGACATTGTTGTAGAATTATCGTCGATACTATCCACTATTACAATGTACAAAAGTAACGTGTCGGCTTTTGCTTAACTTCATATAGTTTTCGTAGTACTTAACATGTTTTCGTAGATAGATAGGAACTACGGATTTCCGTTCACTACAATCATTTGCACATTTTTTTTATTAAATTGGTTCTCTTTACATTAATTTTGTTTCATAATAAATGAATTTTGGTCCACTGTTTTATGTGACATGTTGCATAAACTCGTCTTAATTTTTTTTCAGACTGTTTAGCCGGTTTATATGTTGTAGTTTCATATCCCGTATCATAAGGTCATTATTTGCTATGAACGTGCAACAGAGCTCAATTTTAAATAATTTTTCGATGTCAAAGCATCTGTCAGATAACATTGATAGCTTGTCGAAATTGATAGATATTCGGAGGGTCTACATTGAGTTGACATCGAATTGATAGTTAGAAACAACCAAATTAAATTGAGCTCTCATGCGCTTGAAATTCGGCTTTTACTGAATCTTACTTTCTTCCTCCATAAGAATTGTATTATATCTACTTACAATTTTAATATTATATCTTAGTTGATAAGTCATTGTAAGCTTTATTTGTATACGAAGTATCGATCAAATTAGTTTGACGCAAACGCTGCGCCGGCTTACCAAGAGCGTTTATCTCAGTCGCACTTATGAATTCTTATTTAAGTTTTAAAGTAAAATGGAACAATTTCGAACTCCAAACATGGCTGTATTTAAAAGGAGATATATATTTATTTGTTATATATTTGTTTATAAAAGACATTGAATTTTTTGTTCTATAAATCACGAAGTAAAGCAACGTAATTTAAATATGAAATGAATTTGTTTTAATAGATACTGGAAATGAATTAAAAACCGTGTATGAAAGGCGTGGTGAAATCGCCCATCAACAGCGGCTCGTGGCCATGGCTACACATCATGTAATAGTGATGTGATGTTATATGCAATTTTTTATACAAAGTCAAGTTGACTTAAAATTTGTTGCATGGCCGTAGTGTGGACGGACGGGATAAGATTCTTGTCAATCTTAGTCACCAGTGGTACTGTTAGTGTGAACGTAAGAAGTTCGATTAACAATTGAAGAGTGTACCCGATTAAATAATAATCGGGGTTACTTAATTTCGATGTAATTGAATTTCGTTTGAAAACAAATGAATGTCGGGTGCACTTGTAATGAAATTGAATTTCGTCTGACAAATAAA